TAATGAAGAGGCATTCTATACGAGACATTTTTTATTAGTTTTTGTCCAATGATTGAATAGCTTGAGCCAAAATACATAGTTTGTTTATTTTTATAGTTGGTTTATATCATTTGTTTCATTTAGACTTAAATTTGAGGTCATCTAAAAGTTTGGACTAAATTATCTGCCTACATTGTAATCTCTTTATTGATCCATGTATGCAATTATAAATTTTTATAAATAAAACTAGCATAATGTGTTAACTATTGTTATCTTTTTATTATTATAACACGTATTTTTTCTTTAAGATAATGACAACAATATATTATCACTGCTAAATCTTTGCAGTAGATCAAATTCAATATTACTTACAATAATGCATCAACTACTTTTGTTTTCATATATCATAAATGTTAGTTTTATCAAATATTTTTTACTCTTTTATAATTTATATAATAGTATTTAGATGTCTTTTATTATCATTTAACAAAATTCTATCAATGTCATATCTAAAAAATTATATTAAATTACATTCCGCATTACATGCAAAAAATAAGTAATTTGTTATTGACATGAATGTTAACGATTATTGTGAATATTTTTAAGTTTACAAAATGTGATCCATCTTGCACGTCATTCTGATCACCACCGGACTTATTTTGCAAATAAATAAAATTTAAATTTATTTTGCCAATTAAAAAAATTCAAATACATCTGGACCTAATTTGAAATTAAATTCATGCTATTCAAAATGGAGTCATTTTTATAATTTTTCTTGAATATTTAATTTATATATTTTAATTTTAATTGGCTCATATGTGTTATTTCAATTATTTTATATCACTTTATCTATGTAATAATAATGTCTTCAGTTATTCACAAATGTAGAAAGTTATGTTATTATCAAGTCATTTTTAGGGAAAAAGTTTTAAGAAGTATCATTAATGTGACAAATACCAATTTTCATCGAATCATAAATATTTTTTTAACTTAAATTTGTTTAATTTGAAAATATTTATGAAAATTACATATAGTATTCTATAATCACCACCAGTTATATTTTGTTATTCTATAATCACGATTTGTGTTGTCTGATAATTATTATTTATGATGATAATTGTAACAATGAATCCAATTCATCCACTAATAATATTATATTTAGAGAAACATTTTAAAATATAATGAATAAAATTTTCATCCTACTTTTTTTATTATCTCTACAAATATTTTATGAATAATTTGTATTTATTTAAATTATAATTTATTCACATCATTTCTTAACACCAGGCCGCGCAACGCGCGGGTCACGTACTAGTCATATCTTATATCCTCCCTATATATAATTAAAAAAAACATAACTTTTCTCAATTCAACATAAGCAAATCAATGAAAATAATATATTTTTAAAAATTTTATGAACAAAAGTTGACTCGACAATTTTATTAATGAATTTATGATTGTAAATATTTAATTAAAATATTAATTAAATAAATATAAATAAATATAATATAATATAGGATATACAAATATTTGATATATAATGCGTCAGATGATCGAAAAAATTCTATACTTTATATTATGTCTTTTTTGACAAATCTACAATTAAGAACATGTTAAAAAACAAGATTATAAAGTTTTAAAAAAAATATTAAATATAAAAAATAATATGAATGATAACTAAGTTGTGACACGTACTAATAAATATAAAAGAAACTAATAAACAAAAATAATATAATTAATATAACTAAATATAAACCTTCTAAAAATATACTTATCGATTTAGTCGAACTGAGTTATTAAACGCTTGTTAGTTTTTTGTTCTAATTAATTTTATGTGTAAATTTGAGGTGATAGACAATAGTTATTTGTACATTTATACATGTAGATTAGAAAAAAATCTTTATTATTCTAATTTTAAATAACTTTTTTATTTACTATATTAGTTCTTTTAATATAATATATAAGTATCATATTGAACAGATAAAACAAGAAATATTTTAATTATATAATATTTAATATGTAAAAAATGTAACTCAATTGGTAAATTAATAGGTAATCTTGGGATAAAATAATGAGTGATTTCTGAAAAAAAAAAATTATAGAAATTAAAAAGTTCACGTGTTTAATATATTTTTAATAGAAAAATTGTAAACAATTATTCAATAAATACTACATAAAAAATATAAGAAATCTTATATCCTCATTATATATAATTAAAAAGCATAACTTTTTTCAATTCAACATAAGCAAATTAATGAAAATAATATATTTTTAAAAATTTTATG